GCGGTACGCGTTATTCCATTGATCCGTACCGTACTCAGTGTGGGGAAGAGACCGGCGCTGACGTCGCATCCCCCATTCCATTTCCTGGACACTTAGAGGCAATATGACCTACTTTATGACATTGGAAGCATCGTAGATCGAGACGTGCCTCTCGCGCCGACCCACTGCGCATTTCTTTGCGTTGATAGCGGCAGTCTCTGGCAAAATGATTCGGCCCAGAGCACCGATAGCAGGTGGCAACGCCATGGTGATGAATGGCCGGGGTCGGACCTTCTTTGACTTCAATTGGTTGAATAACTGTGGCCACTGGTTCATCAGCCTCTTTTTTGTTGATCATGACAGCACGGGCTCTGGTCAACAATTGATTGAGCGTCAGGTCTTCCATTCTGGATGATGCACGGAGTATCTGCTTAACATGACTGGGCAATCCAGAAACGAAGGCACATGTCATCCATTCTTCAGGAAGTGGTGCGATTGGAACGGCGAGCTTCTTTAATTCCGCCAAATATACGTCTACTGTCTCGCCAGGTCGCAGACGCCGTGCCTGGAATTGGTCGTAGGCCACGATCCGGTCAGTTCCAAACGCGGTTAGTAGAGCGTGCTTTATTTGCTCACTGTCACTTTTCTGTTCTTTACTCAGCTGCCTATACACAGCAAGGGCACCGCCATTCAATCACAATGGAAGAATCCGTTCAATCTTCGATATCTCACATAATTCGCAGACCAGTTCTACCTTTTCAATCCATTCAACCACAGACTGTCCACTCGTATCACCACTGAATTCGGGGATCAGTTTTATATCGAACGGTCTTTCCGCCATCTTGCGAGAGACAAAGTAAACGCCAAAATAGCTTGTAAGATTTTTTGTTTAAAATTGTGTGAAAATTCAACATCCTGATTATGTAATTTTTCTCTTCTGTTTACCTCTGCTACCTACTTTAGTTATTGTTGTTGTTGTTATTGGAAGTCTTTAAGTGATGTGGTGTTTGTTATTTATTAAAGCTCTTTGTGGTTTCATCCTCCCCTTCTATAGGTTAAGACATAAATTATTCATTTGCTTGAAGCCATTTTTAATTATTGATCTAAAAAAACAGTTGTATATGAATGATATTTTAAACATTTCTGAATACATTGGATGGCATGTATGACATCCATATGGATATCTAGATTGGACAATTCTATTTAAAAACATGACTAAAGTTCTCAGGTTAATATTTTGGTAATAATTTCAGGAATAATCTACTATATAATATGTCATATGTTTTCTTGTAAGTGTAAGCGTTCTCAAAGCAAATTTGTCGCAGATTACTTTCACAACACAAAGAAAAATCACTAAGTACAGACTCGAGTATCAGGGGCGGAAAGAAATGCTGAAAACTTGATTCGCCGGTACTATCTTAAATCACAATGCGTGTAACCAGTCAGGAAAATAACTCACTCTCCAACAAACGCTGTAGCCAAAAATGCCCGAATTTTCCTTTCACCGAATCGAGAACCCCAACTGCTTTTATCAGCAGAACCTATTTTTTTCATTCGTTGTCAGGTGGGATAGGATGCTCCGTAATTTGCATATCAATATACTCTTATAGTGACTCCTGCGACGGACTTGTTTCTTTTTCCATCACAGAATACACACGACGTGTTGTCGCTTGGGTTGACGAGGTAAGTCGCCGTTTTCTTCGCTATAAGATTATTGCTGACTACTTTTTGGTAATCCTTCTTTGGCAGAGCGCACACAAAACACTTTTTTCCGGGGTACCTGATTATCTCTTTCACTACATTTCTTTTGTTTTTAATGTCTCTTTTTGCTGTATTTGAGTTATCTCCCTTGCGATGAAAACACAAGGTAGCAGTAGTGTTGTTATAAAACTAGTACATGGTTCTAAGTTTATGAAGTTAATACATAAAAAGACTAACTCAATGAAAGAGCAAAATAAAATAATAATTGTAAAACACTGTTTATAAGCTGTCATTTTTAACAGTACATATGAGCTACAAAGTAATAACTATTATTAGTAAGTTTTTACTAGTACAGGTTAAGTATCTTTTACCTGAAAACCTCCAAAATACGAAAGTTTTCAGGTGCTGACAACATGGCTACTCATAGCATTATTATTGCATTTCAGTGTTACAAATAAAATAATTTTTTTCAGTTTACATTACATTTAGCTGTAATCAGAAACCATGCAAATACTGTACTGGTATGTAGTGCAGCATTTCTAAACTGGTGTGCCTGGGCATACTAATGCTCCCTGAAAGGTAGCCAGGTGTGACCCAAGTTAACAGAAGCATAATTTATGAATTATTTTTATATTTAAGAAATCTTTATTTTTTAAACACTAGAGACAGCAAGCAATGTAATGTTTAAAAAATAAACAGGAGGTTTCTTTATCATTGTCCTATTTTTATATTTAAATAGCTAGAGACACCAAGCAATGTAATGTCTAAAAACTAAACAGTTCTCCAAGGACACATGGCACAGGGGATAAAGGCATTAGTTAGATCCAGTGACAGGACCCAAAGAGTGTGAGTTCAATACCCGGTTAAGGCAGTGGAGAACTTGGAGAGAGGAATTAACAGGAGATAACTGATAACTGACATTCATTAAACATAGCATGTGGAACTAGAACAGTCTACCCCAGTGAGCGAAATAAAGGGTTCAGTTTGACATTCCAACCACCTGAAGAAGGCCGGAGTGTACAACAGCCGAAATGTTGTATAAATATGCCAACAAAGATGAGGACAATAGTTCAAATAATGTAAATAGTGTATATAATACCTCATCTCAAAAATATAGACATATACTAAACTAATAACTTACCAAATTCTCCTTCTCAACCCTCTCCCTTCAGTTTCTCACACCTGATGTAGAAGTAGTGTTTGGTGTTGCATTTATATATTTTTTGTAAGTAGTGATCATGTTTTATTTTGTACACACAGAAAATACAAAACATTATTTTTATGTGAAATCTTAATTTCCCCACTTAAAAATCCATGTGATCAATACATGACTAGTGTCATTACCTGTATTTGTATGTACACAAAATTTATTAAGTTTTATATAAATCTACTTTCAGGGTATATGTTATTTATATAAAACTACCTTCAGGGTATATGTATAAGCTGTGTCATGAAATGTAAAAGAATGTCATGTTTATGCTTGGGTTCCATTCCGAAACTGCACCATTTTATAGATGGTATATACAAATTAAATAGCCTGTATTACAAAATAGAAAAAAAATCTGAAAACAGAAGCACTTCCAGTCCCAAGAATTTCAGATGAAGGAATCTCAACGTGTATATACATTAGTCTAAATAATCATCTACTAAAAATTAAAAATAATACTGCTGCTAATAAGTGATAAGTAAAACCCAGAACTTCAGGCACAATGATATAAATGTCTTAAAACAAACTTTTTAACCATTTTTCTGCTTAAATACCTTTTTTTACCCTTTTTCAGCATAAATAACTTTTTGTCATTTTCATATTCTCATATTAAATGCTTTCTCATTTACACTATTTACATTGTTTGGATTGTTGTCCTCATCTTTTTTGACATATTCACAACATTTCAACCGTTGTATGCTCCAGCCTTCTTCAGGTGATTGGAATTTCAAACCAAGCCCTTTATTTCATCCACCTAGTTCCACATGCCATGCCTCTTCTGGAAAAGGCATGGCATGTGGAACTAGAACAATCTAACAAAATAAAGAGTTTGGTTAAGAATTCAAATCACCAAAGAAGGTCTGAACATACAACAGCCGAAACACCATGAACATGGTAACAAAGATGAGGACAACGGTCCGAACAATGTAAATGGTGTAAATAATTACAATATCTCATCTCAGAAATATAGACAGATAAATGCTTTTTTATCTGTTTTCAGGTTAGAGGCCTTTTTTAGCCCTTTTCAGTATAATTATCTTTTTGAGCCATTTTTACCATAAATGAATTTTTTTACCCAATTTCATATTAAATGTCTTTTGGCATTTTACAGCATAAATGTCTTTTTTAGCTGTTTTCAACATAAATGCTTTTTTATGTTTTCATGTTAAAGGTTTCTAGCCCTTTTCAATATAATTGTCTTTTTTTCACCATAAATAGCTTTTTAACCCTTTTCAGTATAAATACCCAAAGGACTAATGCTCTAAAGTCACAAAATATATACAAGTTTGCCATCAGAATGGTGTCATACTATGTAACGAGGAAAGATGACTAATTAACCCTCTGCAAATTAAGTAAAGGCAAAGTGTGCTTTTTCTAAAAATGAAGCCAAAGAAAATGATGTCTCCAGTTTTTAGAAAATATAGCAAAATTATTCAATTTAAATGTGAAAAAGTGATGTCAGCAAACATGGATGTAGTAATTTTAAGGGCTATTTCAGCTATCCTCAGTTGCAATGCTTTAACCAAAACAATTGACAAAATGAGTCTGGAGGACATGGCCTATATGAAGTTAACCCCATCCACATCAGTCTTCTTTTCCATCTCTTCCCTAATATCTCTCATCCTTGTAGCAATACTTTCATCTAATGTACCTTTCCAATTCACTCCATTAGCTCTGTGATTTTTTTTTTTGGTTTTTTAAAGGCAATTCACCCCAAGCAAGGCAAAAGTGCCACTAGTATGCAAGGGGTTACAGAGGATTGAGAACAAGGGTAAAGAGAAGTGTTTGAGGAAAGGATACAGAGAAGGAGGGGGAACAAGCTCAGGGTATCAGGTGTCGATTGACATTACACTTGAATATTTGAAGATTATAGTCATCAGGGAAGCAAGTAAGGGGAAGGGAGTTCCACAGACAGGAAGTGCAGGAGAAAAAGCTGTTTGAGAAGAAGAGATGGTTGTATTTAACCATTTTTATAGCAGCATCCAATTCAAAGCCACACTGCAAAAGCATATTGATTCATTCAGTGAATATAACGAACCCAACTGGAATTGGAACTTGGCTCTCTGATTAACAATTCTGAGCTATTATCCATTACACCACCCAAACATCCAAGCTTACAGCACCTAGTATTCCCAAATGGTCACCCATCTAGGTACTGACCAGGCTCAACATTGCTTAACTTCAATAATCATATGGGAGCTGGTGTTTCAATGTGATGTGACTGTAAGAGATACTACCTGCATATCCAAGTTTATAACACCTGGTATTCCCAAGTGGTCACCCATCTATGTACTGACCAGACTCAATATTGCTTAACTTCAGTGATCATAAGATCAACCCTAGTTGTCCTACTGGTCATTCACTCATGATTCAAGAGAGAGACCCCTACTAACTATTACCTCTTCCTCCCCTTAATGGATTAGAATGTCAGTTAAACATCACATGGTCAAAAAGTTCTGTGGGTCACAGATCATCTCTCCAAATAAGTTATCTGAATGTACATTCTTTGAAATAACTGGAAGTCAAACCAAGGACTGTTTTCTTTTAAGTTCTTTCAGAGTTTCGGTCTCTGCCAGTTTTAATTCTTTGTCGAATTTCTAATGGATATCTCAACTTTAACTAAATTAAAACTTAGTAATTTTTTTCTTTTTAATAGAAGTAGATAGGCATTCCTATCTCCCAATCAATACTCCTCCCCTTCTCTTGAACAGGAGTAGAGGCTCAATCCTTGTTTCCTGTTTAGGAATGGGTTCCAGGTTCCTTTCCTTTCCTCTGACCTTAATGGTGGTGCTGTCATAAATATTTTTGTGATATATGTGGATGGTGGCAACATCTCTTCATACTAAGGGTACCAGGTTAGCAATTTTCTGGTTGCTATTCCCAACTGGTAATTAGGAGCCTGAACTCTTATATAGCATCTTGAGAGACTGTTCTGCTCAACAGTAACATAATATTGGGGTTCTTGCAGTACATGTCACACATGGAAGTGCATCCTGTAAGCACATCTGATGAGCAATCCTGAGGCAACACTATGTTGCAGTCTGCACTATTTCCCTTCTCACACATGTTACATTAGATGACTGACTGCTACTACAATCCTAGGTCTTTCTTTACCAAAATAACACACCATGACTATAAAGATATAGAATTAAACTAGCTCAACAAATAACACTTAAACCTCTCAAGCTTTCTTCAGAGACTTTTTGAAGAGTAACGATTCCACACTGCAGATGTTTTTGTTCAGATGCATTTGTACCAACATCTGAGGTGTGGAATCGTACCTTTTCAAAAAGTTTCCGAACATCCTTGCTCACTGTGAAACTAATCATAACTCTGATTTCTCAATTCCTGGTTATCTTCTTCTCTTTAGGAAGGAATCTAATGTCCACATGCATGGCCTGGGAGTTTATGTCCCCAAACATCTCCCACTGCTTAGAAAACTCTCTCTTGAATCACCAGACCATTCTTACATGTGCTTTCATCTCTCTCTACTAAACTCAGTCAGCTATTTCTTCTTTCTCTACCATTCCCCTTCATCCCATGCTAGATAATATTTCTGATAATGATATGCGAATCAAGGGAGTTCTCAGCGAATAATTCGTACATATGTTTTTCAGAAAAACACATGAATATTCAGGGTTTCTGCAAATAACAAGTACAAATGTTCTAAAGAAAAATCCACAAATGTGTGAAGCCACGAATGCTGAAATGTAAATAGGCGGAGGGTCACTGTAGTATTGCTAATCTCACAGACTCATAGAGGTTGATATGCTCAAAAATGACCAACCAATAATCTCAGAGACCATAATTACAGCAAGGATTTTGACCCTCTCTATATTCCCTAAGAATGTGGCCTTGTATCAGAATTAAATTAACTCAGCACTGTGAAGTAATAATTAGCAAGTTACTCTGGTAGAGTATTACTACTGTTGCAAGTTCAATCCTTACTGAATGCCTGACACTTTTGATTTTATGCGTCACACGGACATGAGAATTAAAAAAAGAATGCAAGAAAATGCTGAATGTTACCTGGCTTCCATCTGAGGTACTGCTGCTGCTCAAACTGACTTGATCAGAATCCTCAATGTATGACTGTCTTGGGGTTGTCACATTACTTGGAATGCTGGCTTCATCTTCTGGTGTGAGTGCGTCTGAGCCGCAGTCAACATTAACAGAAAGTGAGCTGTCTGCAAACAAAAGGAAAAATATAAGAAAGTAATATGCATAGAGGAAACCAATCTTGATGCCTTTAATAAAAATGGATATTTTCAAATTTTATACAAGAGGATGACCAAACCTTTAGGGAACTAAATGCAAGGCCTAAGAGTTACTCAAGGTAAAGGTTACTGAATAAGATTGTTGTATAAAAGTAAGTGCAGATCATGAGGATATGTAGGATAGATAACAATTAACCCTAGATTTGAAGAAATTGAGATTGCGGCGATCAAGGAAACATCCTCTCAGAAGTCTGTTTCACAGAGTATTTTGGGGGAAAGGCTGAGTGGAACTTCCTCCTTACTAATGGAATATGAAGACATGAACTGGCTTCTTGAAAAAAATAGAAAATATTTCTTGGTAGAATGACTTTTGAGATGCATGCATAAAATGTCTGGCAAAACATGGAAAACAATTGGTAATTGGTCAGAACATGTTGATTATTTGTTTAAAATTCTCTGGACATTTGGTTAGCACTTTCTTTAATAATTTTTTTTTTAATCATTTCACCCCAAGCAAGGTAATAAAGCCACTGGGACGCAAGAGGTTACTGAGTGTTAGAAAATATAAGAAAAACTACTATTAAGGAGAGAGGACAATAAAAGAGTAGGAATTAAGAAGACAGAAGATAACGATTGACATTACATTTAAATTTTTGAAGATCAAAGCTGACTGGAAAGCATGAAGCCAGAAGAAAGTTTCACAAGTGAGAAGTATGATAGAAGAAACTGTTAGCATAGAACTTATGGTTAAATCTAGCCATTTCAACTGTAAAATGATGAGACCTTGCCGCCAATCTAGTACTGCGCTTAATTTCATCAAGTATAGGTACCATAGAGGAAAGTTCATCAGAATAATTATCATGAAAGTATTTATAGAAAAAGGCAGAGGGAAGTTACATTACAGTGGTGGGAAAGGGGCTGAAGCTGAATTGCCAGGTCAGAACCAATAACATTGTATATTCTTTCTTTGGATTTTACCAAATAATCTCTGAATACATAGCAGAACCACCAGACCAAATGATGCAGCAACATTGAAAGCATGGGCAAAATGGTAGACTTATAAATATGTAAGCTAGATTCTGGAGAGAAAAATTGTCTAGCACAACATAGTGAACCCACTTTCTTAGCTGCAGACTTAGCAATTGATTCAATATATTCTTTCCACTTCATATCAGCAGAAAAACATTTGTCTGAGAAGGTACAATGAGTCACTCTCCTGGAGGTTAGCATCATCCATGATGATGTAAAGAAAAAAAGATTCTCTCAGATGATTAAAAGAGAGTAGTTTCGTTTTTGAAGTGTTAAAATTAACAAGCCATTCCTTGCCCCATTTAACAACAGATTGTAAGTCATTTTTGAGATCAGCTGCCAATTTGATTCTATCAAACCAATCAGATTTACTATTAAGACAAGAGTAAATAAATGTGCCATCAGCATAGATACTGAGTTGAGAACTGATGAAATCTGGAAGGTCATTTATAAACATTAGAAACAATGTAGATCCAAGGATAGAGCCCTAACGAACACCTGCATTTATGCAAAAAGATCTAGAAGAGTGGTCATTCAAGACAGCTTTCATTTCAAGATTACAGAAGGAATATTCTATTGTGCAAAAAGATATACAGTGAGAAACTTATATGCAACATAAAATGGAATAATTTTATATACATTTATAGGTCTCCCATTGAACTTTTCAGTCTGTACTGTTTACTTATATTGGTGTACCTGAAATGTAAGTATCATCACTTTTTTTAGTCTTCATTTCAAGCAAGGTGATAAAGCAACTTAGATCAAGGGATTACTGAGAGAGAAAGAAACTGAGAAAATATTATTGAGTTGAAAGGACAATGAAAAACAGAGTTAAAAAAAGACAGAAGATGATGATTGACCATGCGTTTATATTTAAGAAATTAACAAATTTTTTTCAATGATCTAGGCTGGTAGATGTTAATTTTTTTGTTTGTAAATAAACAGAGATGTCTACTCAAATATATGTAGCCACTAAAATAATGTTTACAATTACAAGAAAATAAAAAGATCATGAATGCAACAAAGATATATATTGAATCCATTGCTAGATCAGGTGCTAAGAAAGTTGGTTCACTGTGTCATGTTAGACAATTTTTCTCTTCAGAATCTATCTTATATATCTATAAGTCTACCATTCACCCATACTTAGAATATTGCTGCCACATATGGTTTGGTGCTTCTGCTATTTATCGAGAGCTTTTTGAAAAAATCCAAAGAAGAATCTTTAATATTATTGGTCCTGATCTGGTGGCTTGGCTTCAGTCACTTTTCCACCCCCATAATGTTGCCGCCCTGTGCCTTTTCTATAAATATTTTCATGATAATTTTTCAGATTAGCTCTTCGCTATGGTACCTAGTATTTGACTGACAATGAGATCTCATCAATTTCTTATTGATGAAACCTTGCTGCCAATCTAATACTGTGCTTAAATTCATGAATTCTAGGTACCATAGTAAAGAGTTCATTCAAACAATTACCATCAAAGTATTTATAGAAAAGGCACAGAGAAGCTACATTATGATGGTGGGAGAGAGACTGAAGCTAAGACACCAGGTCAAGACCAATAATATTGCTGATTCTTCTTTGGATTTTATCAAGAAAAAAAAAAAAATATATATATATATATATATATATATGGGGGGAAGAGGTCATAGTAGTTCCAACAAGAGAAAAGTGTATATATTAAAAAGAAGAGAGAAGTCGTAAATGTTTTTGGATGTAATGTGGATTTTTTCAAAAATATATTATACTTTATTTTCCATAATTTTGCTTTTATTTCTAATGAGTACATCTAAAAATAGTAATTCGTTGAAATTATATTCTTGGGTGAATTTGATTTTTGGGTGTAAGTTTTGAAGTAGAGTGTGGAATTGGTTAATATCACCTCCATGAGGATTTCCAGAAAATGAAGCAATCATCTAAGTATCATTTCCAAGATGTAGTGAAGTGGGTTTTTTTTATTTTGTTCTATCTTTTCATTGATGTTTTCCTTTTGGTAAGTTAATGTTAGGGTGGTATAAGTTGGTGGCATTTTTGTTCTCATTGTAGTAGCTAGGGTATGGATATAGTTTTATATATATATATATATATATATATATATATATATATATATATATATATTAAAAGACATTTTTATTTATGTTTAACGTTGAACCTTATAGATACAAGGTTTAATTTAATGTTATAAACTACAATCTAAATAAGGTTTATGGTGGCTGAATGTCCGTTAATTTTCATCAGAAAATATGACAGTTCCGTACAGGATTCAGGTTCTGCATCCTGTCTATGAAACTGTCATATTTTCTATGAAAATTTCTTAACATTCAGGCCCATAAACCTTATTTAATACTGTTTATCTTAAACAGACATTTCCTTAAATACTTGTATCTATAAAATAACAACGTTAAACATAAATAAAAATGTCTTTAATAAATAAATTGTCGGACCTTGTCCATTTCTTAACATATATATTATATATATATATATACACATATAAATATACGAAACATAAATAAAATGTCCATAAAGTTCGTGTGCATAAATAAGTTATAAATTTTTGAAAGTGCACACGAGTTTTATGGACACCCTATATATATATATATATATATATATATATATATATATAAACATGTTTGGATATAGTTTTTGATATATGACTCAGAGTTTCATACCCAAAGCAATTTTCAGGTGCTGAGTTAAGACTGACTGAAAATATAAATGAAATTGATTTCTGCTATCGGTGAGAAAAAATATTAATATCCAAATGAAAGAACAAATGCAATAAAATTCCACTGTTTGTAGCATTTACTTTTAATAAAGTGCTCAATACAAAGTAGAGCAATATAGTTTTTTTTTATTACAAGAGATTATAATAAAAACACGTTGAAATCACTACACAAAAACTTTCATGTTTCAATACTATACCTTGATTGTACTTCTTCAGTCAATGGTAAGTAATGGTGATTAAATGATTTTTTTTAAATTTAAAAACAAAGTGTTACCTCTTTTCCGAAAGTTAAAAGTCAGGAAACATAAGGTCAAAATTAAAAATAGACTTGTGGATATGTCTCGATTAACCAATTAAATGTCAGATCTATGCTAAATAAAAAAGTAAGCCCAGAGGGTGGAGGTGGGGGAGTTATTTTTTCATGCAACAATAAACCGGAAAATAGACAAGCCATCATTGACAATTGCAGAAAATATGTCAGCAACAAATGTGTCATGATCATAAAAAAATATGACATGTTCAACTTTTTGAAAGGACATTGAAGGGATGGGTAGGTTAATCAGATTTAAAGTTAACAGAAATAATTTTATTTTTTTAATTCTTATATTCAGGAAGCTTTTTAAAGAGGCTTGTAGACAAAATAAAAAATATGGAGCATCTATATAAGATACTGATAATACTAACTGGACAGCAATACATAGCAATATTAAAGTTGAATGAACAAAATTAGGTAATTACCCATTGAGGGTGGATCATTATATACTAATAAATTGTGGCTATAATAAATGGTAATACGTAATTTTTAAAATGTAACTATATTTTAAGATAAAAGAAAAACTGTGTCAGCAATTTACAGTTAATTCACTCCTTTGGTTTTAGAGGGATATTTTTGTCAGCAAATTTGATCATTTCTAATTTTTCATGTAAACATAAGGAGCAGAGTTCATTTAAAGATTTACAAGTTCTAGTTTTTTTAGTATTTTCCATTTTACCGTAAGGATTTTATAAACTTTGTTTATATTCCAAAAATATTTAGAAAGGGATGTCCTATCTCTGTATGCATTATTGGAGAAAGATAATATTTACATATATTTATAGTTCTGTTATATTGCATCAAGCACTATTTTATTAACAGTAGCATTCAATATGCAATATTATATATATATATATATATATATATATATAATAAAGTTAATGGTTGGAGTTGAATTA